CAGCACGAAGGAATGCTGCCGTAGCCTTCCTTCTTATCACACGTACACAGCCGTATGCTTCTCTCTCTCTACTATACCTAAACCTTGTTGTTCAGTCATTACCTGCAGGGTAGAAACAGAACATTGTGAGCCAATCAAGTCTTGACAACTCGTGATAATGCAATCCACAATGGTGAGTTCCATGAGAAGCTGTTCTCCAAGATAACACCAGAGATCAACTATTTTGTACAGGTTATTGTCGGTTATCAGTTCTCTGATTGGAAAGATTTTTCTCGGCTGAACCTGTTGCAACAATGTTGGTAGACAACACAGTTCTACATTGAATGGAATGCCTTTGTGGTGACGCTTCTCTTCTGGCAGAAAAATTCTTGGAACCCAAGCATGATGCCAGCAACCAACGCTAATATCTGCAGATCCAAGTAAATAATTCTTCAGCCACCAGGAAATTTTATTCTTAATGCTAAGATATACAAAACTACAAGAAACAGGGTTCGAATTAAATAGGCAAATATGATATCTCGAGTATGCCAATCAAACTTAATCCTATAATTCTGTTAGTAAGAGAAATAAAACTTAATCCTGGTTGACTATAACACATTCGATCAGTATGAGACGATATCCACTGAATTTTTTTGATCATAAACACAAGTGAAAACATGACTCAAATTCATCTACGGAAGGTATTGTTCCGGGTATCACTTACCAAGGGGGATACCTAAAAAAAGGAGCTTTGGTTAGAGAAATGAGATCCAGATTCTAACAGTTTAACTTTCAGCTCCGCTATGGGTGTAGGTCAAATAAAAAGTTAAGGTCCAAGTCAAGTTTGGATACAATGTAGGTTTAACAACAATGAATCTATATAAAATATGTTTTGTGAACTGAAAATACTAAAAAGCCAAACATAAATCTATTTCATGTTAAAATTAACTAATTAGTCATAATGAAAGAATGCTCAAGTAGATAGTCTCAAACACCCCAACATCGAAAGGAAAATATGCTTGAAATAATAACTACTAGAATGTTGATAAGTTATGTGAATAAAATAACTACACAATCAAATTACTCATTATGAATGTAAAGACTATGATAGCAATACATCCTATTAGAAATAAAATTACTTGTTTCAATGGGTCTTCTCTGAGAAATATACCCTTTTAATATGGCCAGGAGTCCCCAAGTCAAGGTCAGGTCGATTCTAAGTAGGATCCAGGTCAGATGCAGGTAATGGATAAGAATGTCTCCTCTATTTATTGAAAGAACAAAGGAACAAAACTAGTGCAAAGCAGGCATCCACACAAGCTCCTCCATATACAAGATCAAGATTTTGTTAGTGATACCAGTGATTTGGAAGGGATCTCTCAAAAAGTAATTTCCTAAACATGAACTTGCTGATAACTAGAACTTCGTATCAGCTTTCCAAAGTTTGGAACTTGTAGGGCAACATAAGACATCAATTGCCATCACAATATCAAGCTTATCCACCAAACTTAAACCAACATAAGCAACTTAGTCAAGAAAGAAGATAGTCATGAATGATACTTGATGAATGTGTCTGCTTTGAATATCAAGCTGAGATTGCTTCAACAAGAAAGTAAAATGTAAATTGATATGAAATATCTAGAAAACTAGATTTTCATAGCAGCTCGGCCTATTAGCATAGTTTATTATGATCAGTTCGGTTGGGTTAACACGCAACACAAATCTTGGAATTGCCAATTTATCACCAGTTAGAAAACATCAACTGCAGATGCAAGAGTGTTCCAAAGCCCTCACAAGAGCAGCATGTGAACAATGAAACTAAGAATGTACTAAGGATGACTGGAACGCGGAAAGATTATATAACAGCTACAAAGAAAATCAGTAAGTAACTGGCAGCTACTGATAATGAAAAAGAAATCAAAAGTGAAAAGGGTGGATATGTCACCTACTTCAATGGAGGATAATTTCTAATCCTGATAGATGGAATCATGTCCACGTATTGCAATAGTGTTTGCTCCACAAGCAATGGACATTGTCAATCACATGCTGCAAACTTCTGCTGAAAGATTCAGCAGATAAATGAGAGTGTCATGAAACACCACATTTTCTTTTATATCTAAATCAATACATACTAAATCAAAGAGAGAAGACACCGAATTCATACTAGCAATTGATTAACTTTCATCATCCAATATTTTCAAAAGTATTCTTCTCCTAGATCACATTCCTCGTGGACATCAAATCACGATGCTGCTTACTGTGCAATCTTAGCCTACCTTGAGATTAGTTACAAATTATATTTCTACCAGTATTTATTGTCCAGTAATTGCAAAAACATAGAAAAACCCTCGGGTAAGACAAAAGTTGGAGACACTCCAATGTTGTCTGGCTCCAAACTTTCAATGTACTAAAAAGGTTCCGCTAGAAAACAAAATTATTCAACGTTGTCCTTGATCATAAAGCGATTGATTTTTGGGATGTAGGATTATGGTGGTTATTTGTCCTTGCTTTAAAAAATAGTAATGGCATCCAAATCCCATAAATCTTCAGCAAACTTGAACATACTTTCGCCAAAATAAATTCCTGCAAACAAACTTATCAACTGGAGCATGCATATATTGCCTAATTTCGAGGTTTACCAGGAAACCTAGGTAACACATTCAACATGATACCAACAATAAAAGGAACAGTGTTCTTTGAGGACTTTCGTACCAAAAGAATGCCTATCTCCGAATGAATTCTTTGCTTGCCCTAAACAATTGAAGAACAATTTCATTCAAATAAGAAACGTATGCAATTAAAGCATAAATTAAGCAAGAAGCACAGACATAGAAGAACTTTTGCTCTAAGGAGACATCTCTAGTAATCGAACTAAGAAGAATAAGCTGACTCACAGTCCGGCAGTAAAGCTCACCAGATCTCCATCATCAGAACACATAGAGAAAGGAACTTTTAGCTGTAAGCATCAAAAGATCAACTCATAAACTACCATAGAAACAAATGAAAAGGGCGAATGTGGGGTTTACCAAAGCCACTCCTTCCATTCGAAGAATACGCCTCCTCTCTTCGACACCGCAAACATCTCCTCGTAGGGAGCCACGAACTCTCCAAAGGCCAAGCCCCCGAAGACCAGCCGTCCGCAGCCGGCGGGAGGTCGAAAAGCGGAATGGAGCACGAGCCAGCGAGGTCGCCGAAGACCTCGGCGTAGTCGTACAGGAGAGCAGCGACCTGTGTCGGGAAGACGTCGGCGTAGGCGGAAGCCCCGTGGCGGTACTGCTGCCGCCTCCTCCGCGGCGGCTCCGAGATCCCACCATGGGGGGAGAAAGGGGTTTGGATTTAGGGCATCATCGCGACCATCTCATCGTTCTCTCCCGTTCGGCTCCGAGGATTCTGACGACGAAGAGGAGAAAGCAGAGTAAAAAGGAAAGAGAGACCAGCAGAAGCAGGCGCCTCCGTTTCTGGTGGTGGTGAACAACAACGGCGACGGGTGGGATGAAGAAAAGCTTCCGAGTTTGAATATGATCGTCATCGATGCGGCCGCTTCTGATGCCTTTCAGGGAGGGAGGAAACGGGGAGCAGCTCCTTCGGACAAGCCGGTAAGAGTCGGTCTCAGATTTCAAAACCAGCGGGGCCCACAAAGAACTTGCTGGGCCCCCAGGAATACGATCCATTTAAAAATAATAATAATAATAATAATAATAAACTCATTAACATCGTCGACACACCCAAAATATAGCGTTATAAACTCAGTCCCTCGTAATGACTCAATATTAAATCGATTTTAATATTAATTATCATAATTTTTGATGAAATGATTAATCTATCAACATTTTAAATCATTAATTTAAATTTAAATTAAAAAATAATATATTTATTATTTATATTCACTTTGGATGTGAAACCAATAGAATGTATTTATTATGTATTTACTGCTCATCAATTATATCGACATAAAACTCCTATCTGTAGTTATACGAATCAAATCCGATTCACATGTAACCTAATCGGACTTAAAGTGGGCCGGACAGCGTAGGCTGATTTCCAAATCTCTGGTTGGACCGGGCGGTCGGGTCCGATTCAGACGTACCGACAAGAGGAGTCGGACGGTTTGGTGAGTACGTGATGAGGTCGGTGGCGACCTGCAGGTGATAAGCTGGTCCATGTCGTCATCGATGTTGGCCGGTCGAGCCTCTGTTGCGTGTGCACGTGCTTTTAGGTGGAAAGCAGGAGGAGGAGATGGCCATGCTAATGTCATGCTTGGATTCGGGAAGCATGTGGGCGTTGATGTCACGGTGAGCATGGATGGTGGACACCGGTGAGACGGCTTCGTCTCCGAATCCTGAATCCTTCCTCTTCCTTATTGATCGAGGCGCATCCATAAATCACAAAAGAGAGGGGAGGGGTTTGATCCAATCAATGTGCTCATTAGCATGGTCCAACAATGAAAGGTCTCATTCGGGAAGGAGTACTGCACAGGTAAAGGAGGAGGACGAGCTTAATTAATAATACATCAGTCATGTAAAAGATGCGACGACGATGCTTTGCTTTAATTTCTAATCTCATCCCAATGCCATGGGCAGTACAAACATGAAGAAAAGACAACGTGTCCAGAAAAAGTGAGACTGCCATATGGCCTCAACCATGCATCTTTAATGCAACAGGAACAAGGACAAACATGATGCTGGTGATCTTGGTTTACACTGCAAGTGAAGAACTGCACAGGAGTGCAGTGTTTTGCATGATCAGTGCCGCTATTGTATGTTGTTGACGCAAAGGAAGATAACATGATCATTCATGCATGCACTGTGAAATCCTGTGGACTTGGATCCGGAGGATTCTACGGATGCAAAGGTCCGACTTGCTGTGTCTTGCAGCTGGAAATGTTGGAGTTTAGTGGAGGAAGAAGAGATCTTCTGTAAGATCATCAACCACATCGCCTTCTCCTTCACAGAAAGCAAAAAACCAAGGAAAGAATAGCACCAATGCGAGTTGAAGAAGATGATGATGATGATGCAAAAGGATGGAAGAAGAAAAGCGCAGCTCGAATCAGAAAACCAACAAGTGGAATACAGATGTTTCATTTCCCTTCTTCTCCATGCCTCCTCCACTCCCTCGTAAACCCTAGCAACACAACGACATAAATTGAGAAGAGGACAGGATCATGGCCCTCACAAGCTGCTGCTGCTGCTGTCAATCTTGAGGCGGGTGCGGTTGATGCAGGTGCTGCTGTGCCGAGGGTTCATCCTCGCTTGCTGGTTGCTGCTGCTTCTTGAACAAGTGCTTGTTGTTGTGCATCCAGACCTTCAAGACCTGCCTCCTCACCCCGGCCTTGGCGCAGAATTCCTGGACCTGAGCCTCGTCTTGCTTCTGAATCCTCCACCCCACCCGATCCGCGAAAGCCAGCATCTTCTCCTTCTGCTCCACCGTGAACTTGGTCCGGAACCGCTTCCTCTGCGCGGTGGCCGGCGTCGGCGCCCCGGCATTGATCCTCTCCTCGCTCGATGACTCCGTTGTCGTCCCCCCGCTCGCGCTGGCGTTGCCTCCGAAGGCCACGAGGGCGGAGGAAGGCGTGGTGGGAGAACCGAAGGGGAATTGCTTGTGGTGGTGGTGGTGTTGGGGAGGAGGAGGGAGGAGGAGAGCAGGACGGGCGGCGACACGGTAGTAAGGGTCAGTAGCCTCGTTGTCACCGTCGGTCTCCTTGCGGTGGAAGCTCCTGTGGCAGCCGCAGGCCGCGCACTTCAGCCCCCCGGGCGTGGACGGCTCGCCCTCCGGCATGAACTCGCCACAGCCATCGAGGACGTGGCCGCCGATGCCGGCCGCGTGATTGCGGAGACATTCTTTGTACCTGACGGAGACATCGGCCGTGGCAGCGGACGTCGAGTTCCTAGCCGCGGCGGTAGATTTGGAGTCAGGTGTAGTTGCACCACCGACTGCAACCGGATCGGAGTTCCTCACAACAGACAGAGAGACTTGGTGATCTACAGCAGCAGCCGTAGTTGGGTGAACCGATGATGGCGTGGTGATTCCATAGAAACCGGAATTCCTAGCAGCTGATGAGCCACTTCCACTTCCTCCTCCTCCTCTGCTGGGGGAGATCAGAGAAGAAAAAGGATTGAGGACGGGTTTGGAGAAAGCTGATCCTCTAATAGGAGGAGGAGGAGGAGGAGGATTGTAACCTAGAGATGTGGAAGAAGGTAGCTCTATCTCCTCCTCCTCATCATCCTCCTCATCGACAACGGCAGCTTGGTTCTTATATTCCATAAATCCCAGCTCTCCTCCTCTACCTAGATTTCATCTTCCACAGCATCCATAAGAGAAGGAGAACCCAACAGAGGGAAGGGACACTGTTGAAGCTCTTATTGCACACTGAAAAGAGCACAGATGAGATGAGAGGGACAGGTCGAGAACGTGCAGCACTGAAGCGGTCAGCAGCTAATGTGATTTGGGTGTGGGGGTGAAACAAACAGTGTGAGAGATGAGAAGGGAGTGGCAATGAGTAATACTGGGGTTGGATTTCCTACCATCCATCTCTTCTTCTTCTTCTTCTTCTTCTTATACGTATCGCTCCTTGTCATACCTCTCTCTCTCTCTCTGTAGCTTGCATTCATGTGTGGTCTCCATGTCTCCATCCCTTAACCCTTATCTACACTATCTCTACGGTGCACCACAGAATCCTCTCTCTCTCTCTCACTTCTCTCTGTGTTGATTGAATTGGAAGGGTTGGGGAATTGAAAGGGAGTGGGTCCTTCACTGTCTTCAACCACATCAGTCTTGTTGGTGTGTCAGACTGCAGCACTAAAACTCTTTCTCTTTCCTTCATTTTACCGGAGCCAACCTCGCCATCTTTTTCACATCGCTTTCTTCTTCTCACCTACATTGCTCCTCCTCCATGGCTGTCTTCCAACTTTACCTTTGTGGTGGACTAATTGGCTCGCTGATTTGTTGGCTCAGATAGCATAGCGCACCTCTGCTCCGTCCGGGAATCAATAATACGTTAAAGCCCGTGCATCGTACATGAGATCAAAATCGGAGGCTTTCTGTTCTTACTTGAGATGGAAAATGCTATTAAGATAGCATTAAATTCGATTTGGGTTAAAAACTATTGGGTAATTCACCAAAAAATAAAAATCCTACTTTATAGGCATCTACCAGAAGTTGGGTGTGGACACCCCTAAGCTGACATATCCTTGTTCTTAAATGTGACTTTAAAATATTAAAATCACCTAAAATTAAAAAAAATAATAATGAAATCACTATTTGTGTAATATTTATCTACCATGTTGAGAGATTAAGGTGAATTAGATAATTTTTCATGATATTACACTCATAAATGACCTATGTTAAACTCCATTATAGGGTCAACCCATAAACATATCAACTTTGACTTACAAAATTCCCAAATCAAGTTTCAAAAATTCAAATAAAAAATTAAATAAACATGAAATGAAGGTGGGAGGTTCAATGAATCATATAACAGATACAATCCGTATCTGATATGATATTATTTGGAAGGAGGGAGAAAAAAAAAAAAAGTACAGTGTATTCAGGAGCCTACAATACTTAAAAGATGAGGCAGAGTCATGGCTTCCAAAGATTGGAGCTGGTGGATCCTAAATCCATCTGAAGAAGCAAGAACAGTACTGTTAAGCATCAGGGAAAGCACTACTTGGTTAAACTTCATTACAAGAATATATATATATATATATACACCATGAGGAGGTCATGTTCTATAAAAGAAAGATCATGGCAACGACTACCCCAACATCTTCCTCTTAACTTGGTGATAGAGATGGACGCCAACTTCCTCCAATTGCTAGTACTGCCAAAAAATGTGAGAGAAGTCATGCCTCGCGCTCATATCACATGTTCATACATCCTCGTAACCATGTGCAATTCAATAAAAATCTACACAAAAGGAAAACGGATTGGCAATGAGCAAACATTATGTCCGAAGAAAACCGACAGATCATCCAATCCCACAATACTTTGGTTTATGTATTTTACATGTAGAACATTTCTAGGATATGACGTCGCATCCAACCTTCAGCTTAGCTGTGACGGGCTGAGCAAGAACAGATGCCAACAGACAACATATGGCAACCTTTAAGACAATTCATCCAACATTCTTCCACTCCTAAGCTTTTGCATATGACTGGAACAAGTGATTCAAAAAGTCCATCTTCCATGGTAATTGGACAAAGTAGATCTATTTATATTAATTTTGTGCAGCATAGCATCACAGGTGTTCCATCTGTGATGTGACACCAGAACTCCGACGGAAGAAATTGTGCGCCGAGATGAGTGCACTCAAAGCGAGGGCAACAAAAGCTAGGAATGAGATGGCAATAGACACATTTGCCATGTCCATGAATTCATCACTTCCGAATCTAGACATCCAAAGATCATTACGGGAGGCAGCCACAGAGGATGCAGCAATCAGAAGGTAAGCCAGTATCTGCAACAAGCAAAACTTCAGGAACAGATTCAATTGATGCTTAAAACACTCAAGATAGTTACAGCTTTCGATTCAGGAATGCTTCGATCAAAGAGATATTTTGCAATTTTGGCACTTTGACATGTTATATTACCTTTGAGATGACATAAAAAAGAACACGGGGTACCTGAACTTCTATCTCCAAACCAAATCAAGAGAGTATACACACTGTATCTTGTCCCATGGTTAATATAACATGAGCATGAAGCATAAAGGACTTAACAAACCTATAATTCATCTACTTCTAACTTCAAAAAAATATAAACCAGAAGATACAATATACAAAAGCTCATGTTGAGACTGAAAAAGTAGTTCACAATACCAGACTCTACTCAGCATCAATAGTATCATAAGCAAAGTGTAAACCGCTCTGAAGACTTTGTCCATCATAATTAGGTCAATGTCATATTAATTGACACGGAATGGATTTCCAGTCTTAGTAATGTTATAGTTATAAACCTAGTATTGTAGCTTAAAGGACATTGTTAAAATACGCTATGGACAGTGACTATGTTTAACTAGAGGCCTTATACACCCTTTGGATGTCCTACCTACTTAAAAACCCATTTATGCTTCTTTCTCTCATGAGCAAAACAGAAGCATCAAATTAGATTATGGGCCTATCTTGGTCTGGTTCAAATGAAATGACAAACTTCAGTTTTCTTTTGTCTCTTAGAATCTCTGACCCCCGAAGATAACACAGCCATACAGCCAAACAATTATCCTTTGACAAGTTATAACCGATGGAATGGCCACAAAATTTTGATCTTTAATGATCTTAGAGGTTACTAGAACAAAAGCAAAGCAAGGCTACTTGATTCTTTTTAATTAGAGATGAGATTTGTATTAGAAAAGCGAACTGAACTGAAGAACTGTATTCGGTGTATAGTATAAGTGGTCAACATTCACCAGTCCAAGAAAATAAAATCAACACAAGGAATTCATGTCCTGACTGGTGATGTCAACAAGTAAACAAGGCTTCTTGATGTCATTTGCCTCACATTCTCCAACATAATCGCAAGTCCTAAAACAGCACATAGATTATATGATCTTCTAAACAGTGAATTCAGATAATATAATATTATATATAGATAGGAGAACGAGATTTATCCCACATGATCCATTGTGAGGTCGAAGTAGTAATTGATCGGACTGCGGATGATGTATTTCTTCAGGATCACATGGTGGACCTTCGCGTAAATGTGGAACGCTGAGTAGCCGAAAGCAATCGCAGTGACAGAAACCAAGCACCTGCAGCCACCAAACAACAAGAGACGAACACCGCTCGATATCGCGACATATAAACCTCAGCAAAGATCCAAAAGACGAGACCACATTTTAGGTGGGACGGACCATCAGCTAGAAGCTCTCGAATGGAGGAAAACATCGGTTCGTACCGGTACTCGCTGTATCGGCCGAAGGAGTCGCCGGCCCACCCCTCGGTGTTGTCTGCAACCATGACCGAGAACGACACGAGACACAGTAACGCAGCGGAGACCCTAAGTCCGAGCGCCGCCCTCATCACCGCCCCGAGACCATTCTCCGCCTTCCTCGAGACACGGCCGCCACCCTCCCCGCCATCGACAACACTCACCATGACGGCTAACTCGTCCAGGCTCAGCCGGCCAGCCACCGCCAGCGCCGTGACCGCCGGCTCCGGGGACTCCGGCCTCTCGGGGGTGTTGTGAGGCGGAGGCGGTGGCGATCGCTCGGGGGAACTCATCGGCCTCACTTCAAAGCGTGCCCGGAGGGGAAAAGAGAAGGGAATTGCTGAGGCATTGAGAGACTACCATCTACGGTGTAACTCATCGGGAGAAATGGAGTATATTTTTCGGGCCTAAACACGAATCTCAACGAAGGAAATGCACTGAGGAGAATAAAGTAAGTTTACTCGACATAAATCAGATTAAGAAAAGTTTAGAATTGGATTAAATTACGATGGCAATTTATTGAGTCAGTCACAGCTTTTCTAACTGATCATTGCCTAAATTCCCTATGAATTTTATTTCCCTATTCGACAGTTTGAAATTTTAAGATACAATAAGAAATTAATTGCTGATGTAATATATATTATTATTATTTTATTGTTGGAAAAGATGACAATATTTGTCTCATGAGTCATTCTCTGCTTCTAATGAATGCACCCACCAAAATTTGGTATCCGTTTACACCAATTCCCTACTAGTTGTAAATCTTGGAGAACATGTCAACTTTGCTTGTAAATTGTCAACACTAATGATTACCAAATGCTTTACACAGACTGATTCCATGAAAGTAGATAATAAACAAAATCAAACTATCAAATCTTGTTAAAACATACACTTCATCATGGATGAATATATTGTCATGCTCGACATTGGAGCCAATATTAATGTGGAGGGTTCAGGTTTGGTAATTCAACATCAACAAGAAATAGCAGTGCACGTTGGGGGCATGATAAAGCAATGGTTAGGAACCTATGCTTTCTCCTCACCCTATAAATCCCCGGTAATCAGGTGCAGATACAATTAGCTACTTTTCCTCCGTGCCTGAGGCTTTCTTTTGCTGTGGAAAGCCATGACATGCAGAATATTAACCATCTCATACTTTTGACTAGGAAAAAAAGAACTCCACTGCTCCTGGTACAAGAATCGATATCTTTATAAGTAAAGAGAGACCATTCTTCCGGGCACGACGAGGAAGCACGACTCTGGAAGGATTGCTTACATGATAGTTGGGCTCTTCATTATATTGTGTGATGCAGAGGTTTGAAGGGATAACCTTGATGATCAGAGAGTTGAGAAGAATTCATGTGATTTGTAGTATTTATGGAGAACAACATTATAGAGAGGATGGACTGGCTCCAACAGGTTAGTGTAGGGACCCAACACTGCACTCGTTAATGGAGGTCCACCATCATCTTTTGACCAGCTATACTGAGACACGGACAGACCACTCAGGCAGTAGCATGAGTGGTAGAAGTCCCGCTGCTTGCCAGGCTTGTCCCTGAATCCTCCCTCAAGCACCTACAGATGCAATGCTTTAGGTGTTTCAAATATTAGAAAGATGAACAAGAGACGCCAGTGAACACAAGCATATGGTAAACAAAACTATGCAAGAATTTGCGCTTCTGATAACATATGAAACAAGACCGTCTATACTATCATCACAACCATAAAACTAAAAGAACCTGCACAACTACTAAACAACCTGCACTTCCCTTCTATTTAAAAGAAAATATCACGATGCTTCCATAACTTGACAAAGCTAACAAAACCCTAGTTTATTCTTGACAGAATCTCCCAAAACATGTTAGGAAAAAGAATCAGAAAAATAACATGCAAAAAGATGATTTCAATTTCCAAATTTTGCACAAGATATAAAACCGTCAATTAAATCCTCTGTAGCAAAAATAGATGGGACACTTGCTAAATCCTAATGATGAAGTTGGACATGAGGCTAATTGCTGATGATTTTCATAAGGACATGTTAAGAGTGTGATCTAATTGATAAAAACTTCCCAAGTTCTATAACAAAAAACCTTAAAATAGCTCTTGAATCCCATTATGCATTAGTTTTAGAATTAAACTTTTGAATAAACTGGATACAGAGTTTTCTTCATTATCCAGCACATACCTGGGAACATAGGAGTATATATTGCTGCAAAGCGATACTATGGAATAAAGGGCCACATTCAGTATGTCTTCCTATAAAAGAAAAACCAAAATCTGAAAGTTCTTCTCCTGTTTCAAGATCATTCCACTACCAAGTCAGCACACCAAAATGCCAAGTAAGCAAAGTAGTTTAATGAAATGCAACAGCAAATAAAAAATACAAAAATAAAGTATCAGTATCTACTCAATTGTACAGAATATATATGATTCATACTGATGAATGCAAGTACAGCCCCTAACAGAGAAAAAAAAGAAGAAAAGAACAGGAAGGGAAATCATGGCATGATCAGCAGAACATAATTCTCATTTCTTTCAGAACTCTCCTGTATGAAAGAATACTACGAAGGATTTTGAACTAGCACAGTTCACATTCTTAGTACTCATGCAACAGACTGCATATGCCATATGCTAAATATCTCCAGTTATCAGTTGATTACAAACAGTAGATAATACAAACATGCCAAGATAAACATATTATAACTTGTTTCATTATAACATATATTAACAGGATCCCCATATCTCATTAGCAATCTAATGGTTCAAGTTAGCTCTAATTAAAAAAAAGTTGATTTTGTCCTTGGTCATCATTATATAGCTGGCAGTTAGATAACCAGGCATTTCTGAATCATGTCAGGAAAAAGAATTATATACTTACATAGCCTTTTAAAGCATTCAATTCATATGATTGAAGCAGTTACAAATAAGAATGCTTGCAATTTCAACAGCTTTATAAGTCTACCTTCATTTTCAGGATGAGAAGTCCCAGCTCTGCATAAGTTTTCATCTTGGCCAGTTTCCTCTGCAGTGAAATTACATGATTTCTTACACTCAGCAGATGCCTGCACTCCACTGATAAAAGAGGACTCCAGCTGTTTGTGAACAATCAGCAATAGCCTTTGTGCCAAAGCAAGAACACCTCCCTAGTAAAATTTAAAATTTTAACTCTAATTTGGATGATTAAGAAAATAACTATAGAAAAAAGAAAGATAATTACTTGCCAAAAGGAGTAGCAACCGTCAACCAACTTATTTACTCGCCCTTGAAAGCCACACTCCACTCCTTGACGAGATGCTACCCAGTCCTAATTATACATTGCATGTAGACACTCTTAGGACCCCAAGTCTAGAAGTACAACACAAACACCAAACAAATAGGCATCTTGCAATAGAGAATTCAAATCAATTTTCATAAATATCAATGACAAGTGATGTTAGAACTTGCAACTCAACGTGTTGAGCGCAATACACTGGATAACATCTTAATCAAGGTTTTTAATTCCGAATAATACTGCCCGTACTAGGAGGTACATATTGGTCCGCCAGTAGACCGGTACGTGAATCACCCGCTACCGAGTAATACCGTCGATTGGGGTTGTTTCCGCCCCATTACCACCCGGTACCGGGTGGTATTAGCCAAGGGAGAAGAAAGAAGAGGAAGAAGAAGAGGAGAACTTGGAGATCCGGTGTCGCTCTCCCTCCTTGTCTGAGGCGGCGACGTCTCCTTGTCGCCCTTTTTTGCGCAGGGAGAAGGAAATGGTTTCTTCTTCCCATCTTCTCTCCGCAAGGGCAGAAAAGAGGCGACATCGCCTTTTTTTTCACTTTTATATATATATATATATATATATATATATATATATATATATATAAGTAAAAAGGCATTGTCACCTCGTTTTTCTACCTGTGTGGGGAGAAGAAATCGAGCCACGCACCAAAAAGGGCGACGAGGGAGTCGCCCTTTTTTTTACTTATATATATATATATATATATATATATATATATGTTTTTCTGTTTACGCCGAGCGGTATACTGAA